ATGACCTCCACTCCAATAACAGTTTTCAAACCAGGGGATCACCAGAGTGCTGGCAAATGCAGAACCCAAGGCCCCGCTCCCCAGTGTCTGACTCAGTCAGTATCTGGGGTCAGGCTTAGGAATCAACATCTTAAATAAGGGCCCAGCTAATTCCCACGGGGGAAACACCACATCTAGCCCAAGGCCAAAGACACCTGGGAAGCAGGTCTGCTTGGAGGAAAGCGTGTGGCTGTGCAGAAACAGGGCTGGGTGCAGTTTGAGACAACTGCCCAGTTGTGATTCCGGGTGGACGTTGTTAGCAGTCACAGCTAGGAAAACTGGCATATGACAGACACCTTTGGAGTCTTTGGTTTGCAGAACTAGTGAATAAATGACAAGTCAACTTTGTGCTTTCCTCCTGGAGGGCCGGAGTCCGGGCAATTGACTTGGCAATATGAACTGTATGGCCCTGGGTCCATGACTGACTATTGAGCATCTGTGAAATGGGAACAATGATAGCAGTTTCAGGACCAGTCACACGGGGTTATGGCAGTCACAGGAGGCTATCATAGTTGAGGCACTGGGCAAGGATCATGTCAGTATGCTGCTTTTTAAAAAAATCCTCACTCGAAGACATGTTTATTGATTTTTAGAAAAAGAGGAAGGAGAGAGAGAGAGAGAGAGAGAGAGAGAGAGAGAGAGAGAGAGAGATATCAGTTACCTTCTGTTCGCAACCCTATCAGGGATCAAACCTGCAACCTAGGTATGTGCCATGACTGGGAATTGAACCCACAACCTTTTGGTGTACAGGACAAGTTCCAATCAACTGAGCCACCCGGCCAGGGCAGGACCCACTTCTTAAGGCTTTCACATTAAAGGGTTGGAGTCCCTTTGCTCTCTTAGTCACAGGAAAGCAGGGTCTAGGCCAGGGGTGGGCAAACTTTTTGACTCGAGGGCCACAATGGGTTCTTAAACTGGACTCAGAAGAAGGAGCTGCGGCCGTGTTTCCCGACGTTGCCATGTTAACACTGCTGCTGGTGAAGGAGCGGAGGGGAGAGCAAGAGAACCCTCCGCTCTTTCGGCTCCGCAGGCGGGATAGAACAGACGAACAGGCCGGATCCGGCCCGCGGGCCGTAGTTTGCCCTCGGCTGGTCTAGGACAAAGAAAAAATGAAAGTAAGTCCATCCTACTGGAGACCACACACATCCTGATGACCTACTCCCATGAAAAAATAAGCAGCGGATCCAGGCAGGGAGTCTGGGTGTGCACCTCCAGCCCCAACTCTTTAATTTGTGTCTCAGTCGTGTTTTCATGTTCCTGATCCCAGCCTGGCCTCCAGGCTCCTCTCCCCATTATAAATGAGGAAGGAAAAGGAAAAAACAAGGCTATATGGTGTGTGTGGAGGGGGGTGAGGGGGAGGAGGGGCTGTGCTTGGAATCCCAGATGGCCAATCTGGCCTCAGCCCTGTCATCACCTACTGTGGTAATTTAGTCAGTATCACTAACTCCGACTTAGGCATGTCATATCTCCACTGCAAAATCATTTGTTTGGGGAATTTGTGGTGAGCTCCAAGTCTCTCTCCTTCTCATAAATAATATTAATTTATGCTCCATTCCAGCCCTATTGGAAATGCAAAAACTGTCCCAACCTCGACTGTGAGCTCCCCAATAGCAGGGCCCACTGCTCTATCAACCCCTGGCCCCGAGTTAAGCTCAAGGCAAGTATGGCCTGAAGCGGGTGAACCTGCTGTCCACTCTGCATTGTGTGAGGACTCTTTCCTTATCTGAACACACAGCCCAGCTTTTAACTGTAGCTTCAGTTTTGCTCATGGGGAGGAATGCCCCACTCTCTGACCTGTCCTGTGCCCCTCCCCCCAACCTCCTCCCACAGCCCCACAGCCCCTCCACTATGTCAATGCAGAGGTGGAGAAATATTGAATCCAGGGGTTACCTTTTGCCGAGAATGGGGAAATGAGAAGCTCTAAACAGGACAGAGAAGAAATCTGTTTTAGAGTAGGAATCCTGGCTGGGCGGGAGAGCAGGTACAGCAACAGGGCCGGGCCTGAGAGATTATGTTCCAAAGGACTGCCAGGTGGGTGTCCACCTTTTCCCCTGGGAGACCCCTGGCTGCTTCCCGGGGGAGGGAACAGTGTGCAGAAGGGACAGCTCCTGCAGACAGAGCACGCAGCATGTCTACTTCAGGGTAGGGAGTTCAGGCTGCCAGTTCCTTAAAGATGCGGGGGCTGGATCCCATTCTCCTTAGAGGCTCCCAAACCCTTAGTGGGGTCTGAACCTGTAGGGTAACAATTTATTATCCACTGAGTTGCATTAAACTGAGCTGAAGTTGAGGGGGACATGATATAATGGGTCCTAAAACTGCCATAACAAGTAAGCACAGACTTGGTGGCTTAATGCAACCAAGAAATGTATCCTCTCTCCGTTCTGGAGTCCAGAAGTCCAAGGGCAAGGTGCGGACAGGGCCGTGTTCCTTCTAAAGGCTCTAGCGAAGGATCCTTCCTGCCTCTTTTAGCTTCTGGTGGCTCCAGGCGTCCCTGGTTCTAATCTCTGCTCCCGTCTTCACATGGCCTTTTCTGAGTCTCTGCTTGTCCTTGCCTGTCTCTTAGAAGGACACTCTCATTGGGTTTAGGGCCGACTCTAACCATGATCTCATCTTGATTCTTACCTGAATTATATCTGAAAAGACCATATTTCCAAATAAGGTCATATTCTGAGATTCTGGGTGGATGTGATCTTTTGGGGAGGCACTATTCAACCCAGTACAGACATTAAGTAGCAAATAGCACAGCAAGAAGTGGTAAAAAAGGCTGTCAGGGGCTGGGAGACCTTGATCTGGTGACTTCTGTGGCTTAGTTGTACTAGCTAGGGATGGCTTCCATTAGCATCTATGAGCTCCACTGTCAGCTGGGGGGAGGAGGGGGGGGGCGGTCCATGCGGTACCTGACTCCCTTTTACATATGAAGAAACTGAAGCTCAGAGGGGCTGAGTGAACAGCCACAGTCCCAGAGCAGGCTAGGGCTGGCACTGAAATCCAGGTTGGCTTGGCACCAGAGCTTGAGGATTTCACAGCCAAATTGGACTGGATTTGAGGACCCCCCCCCCCCAATGCTGATAAGATCCCATTCTGAGGAACTTCTTTTATCAATAGAAGGCAAAGGTGTTAATGGTCTTGATTTTCATGTTCCTTCACTCCCTCATATTGTAGATTTTTGAATGTGACTACTTCCATGGAATCACTCGAAAAGGTGAGGTTAAAGAGAGCAAGGATTAATCCAATTATTTGTAGAAATTAGTTTGGACTGGGGAAATAAGGCGGGGAGACCCAGCTTGCCCCTGCTACCTACATGGATTTAATACCCTTGGGAAGCTACCCTGAATTCCTGCTCCTTCCTACACTGGCCAAGAACACCAGGGTGCCCCTGGGAAAATTTGTCCAAGGTGTGGAGAGGGCGTGGAAAACAAATTTTCTTTTCCCCCCAACTACGGCTCTGTAATGTCTGTTTTAAGCTCCCTAGGGCAGGGAGGGCACCACTTTGCTCATGGCTGCCCTGCTCAGGGCTTAGAACCTGGCATATACCAGGCCTCCATAAAGTTGCTTAGGGAACGACGCATCCTTGATCACAAGTCATCTAAATAAGGGCTCTAGACTAAGAGGTAGAGCACGGGAGGAATGAATTTCTTGTTCCTGGGTCTCAGTTTCCTTATTTGTAGCTGCTTGCAGTTGCAGAATGTAAAGGTGGTTGGGTGCCCCACCTTTCCCCAGCCTGTAATCCGGTGCCAATGCAAATGCCAGGTGAGGGGGCGGTTCACCTGTTCCTTGACCCCTGGTGGGTGTATCTGCATCCTCCAGGTTCCGGAGCCTAGGGAGGAACCCCCTGAAAGGAGGCTTACTTGGTGGAGAAAGCTTGTTCCCATCACATCGCCAAGGCAGGCCTACAGCCTCAGAAATGAGGGCGCCTGTCCGCTATGAGCTCACAGCCTGCTCACAAGCCGCCGGGGTGGTTATTATTACCCTCATCTTCTGAGAAGGCAAATGAGACCAAGGCTCAGAGACCAAGCCACTTGCCCAAGGTCACACAGCTCAGCAGGCAGAGCAGGGATGGGGACTCGGGTCTCCGGAGCCCCGCTCCAGCGGCTTTTCGAAGACACCGCTATCTCCCTATTGTGACGCTCAGGAATAAAACAGGCCGGACGCCTATCTTTTACAATGCTCCTCGCAAATCTGTGGGAACAAAAGCAACCAGAAATCTGCCCCGGATTTTCCATCGCTCCGGCCCGACGGGCCAATCGACTCCGCCGGCCAAGGAGGGGTGGAACGGGGCGGGCCCAACGTGATCGACAGCACCGGGGGGCGTGGTCTCGGGGGGTGTGAGTCTGGATTGGGGACCCGAAACAATCACAGGCTTAGAAGGGGCAGCTTGAGCCAATCAGCGGGGGGGAGGCGGGCCCTGCCGGCCTGGCTGTCGCGAGAGGCGACTACCCCGCCCACTTGAGCTTCGTCCCGGGGTCCGTCAGCTGCGAACACGGCCGCGCTCGTCTGGATCCGTCCGCGGCGCTGGGAGCCTGGGCGCGAGGCCGCTCGAGTGCCGGCGCAGATCCCTCCGCCGTCCGCCCGCGCGCCGCGCCCCGCGTGTCCGTTCACCACCGCTGCCGAGGCGCCCGCCCGCCCTCCTGCGGCCTCCGTCCTAGTAACGGCCGGCCAGCACCAGCGCGGAGGCGGAGGCGGAATGGCCGGGGCGGCTCCGTCGGGGGGCGGCCCGCAGTGACAGACCCTGCGGCGCGGGGGGAGATGGGGGCGGCCGCCTCCCGGGCGACGACGACGACGACGAGGAGCAGCCGCCGCCGCCGCCGCGCACCGGCCGCCGCTGGGGACGGGCGCGGGCCAAGAGCCCGCCCGTGAGCGGGGGGCCCGAGGCCGCTCGCCGCCCCCGGCCGCCCCGGCCGCCCCGGGCCCCCCAAGCGCCCCGCGCGCGCCCGCCCGCCGGCCGCTGGCGGGGGTCTCACCCGCGCCGCGCGCCCCCGGTCCGGCCCGCGGCGTCCACCCTCCTTCACCCGGCCCCGCCGCGCCTCCCGCTCGCTCCCGCCGCGCCCCGCGCCCCCGGCCCCGGGCTTCGGCCTCCGGCCCCGGGCGGCGGCGCGGCACGGGCGGCAGCATGGTGGAGAAGCGCTGCCCGCTGCAGAGGGACGGCGTGTACCGTTGGTTCTCGGAGCTGCCGTCGCCGCAGCGCGTGGAGTTCCTGTGCGGCCTGCTGGACCTGTGCATCCCGCTCGAGTTGCGCTTTCTCGGCTCCTGCCTCGAGGACCTGGCGCGCAAGGACTACCACTCGCTGCGCGACTCCGAGATCAAGGCCAACAACCCCGCCGACCTGGGCAGCCTCACCAACCTGACCGACGAGGTGGTGCGCAGCAAGCTGCTGGTGTCGCTGGCGCTCCTGGGCTCGGAGCAGCGCGAGGCGGCTGGCGTGCTCTACCGCACGCTCACGCACATCGACTCCATCATCCACAACTACGGGCTGCAGCTCAACGAGGGCCGTACGGGCGATGAGTTCCTGCTGCTCTTCACCATGGCCTCCAACCACCCGGCCTTCAGCTTTCACCAGAAGCAGGTGCTGCGCCAGGAGCTCACGCAGATTCAGAGCAGCCTGAGCGGCGGCGGCGGCGGCGGCGGGGGCCACGGGGGCAAGAGCGCGCTGCCCACCTGCCCGTCCTGCCACAAGGTGCGTGCCCACGCGGGAGGCGGGCCCGGCGCCCCCACCCTCACCGCAAGCCTCCAACCCGCTCCCCAAAACGCCCACCACCAAGCCTCCACCCCGAACGGAAAACACTCGCTCCCGAAGCTTTCACTTGAGATCCCAAACCCTCACCTGAACCCTAAACTCATACCTGCACCCCCAGGCTTCCATCCTGGTTCCGCAGCCGCCAACCAAGCTTTCACTCCGCGTTTGTATCCCAAGCCTCCACCCTGTACCCTATGCCCGCACTCCAAGCCCCTGCCGCCACTTCCACCCGCAAATCCTGCACCCCAAGACCGTCCCGTACCTCGCGCCCTTGAGGCTGTTGCACCCATCCATCTCGCCCGGGTTAGTCGGGGAAGTATGGGAGGACGCACTAACGGCTCCCTTAGAGGGACAGATAACCTCAGTCAGAGGTTGCGGCCTCAGTTACATGGTTTCTCCAAATCTGATGGTTATTACTAGAAAAGGAAGCCGTATGAGATAGAGAAGGCTCTAGGCCAGTGGTTCTCAACCTTCCTAATGCTGCGACCCTTTAATACAGTTCCTCATGTTGTGGTGACCCCCAACCATAAAATTATTTTCGTTGCTACTTCATAACTGTAATTGTGCTACTGTTATGAATCGTCATGTAAATATCTGATATGCAGGATGTATTTTCATTGTTACAAATTGAACATAATTAAAGCATAGTGATTAATCACAAAAACAATATGTAATTATGTATGTGTTTTCCGATGGTCTTAGGTGAAAGGGTCGTTTGGCTCCCGAAGGGGTCGCGACCCACAGGTTGAGAACCACTGCTCTAGGCCTTCGCAGACATTCGCGGGTGTCATGTGGCTCCCCAGGCCTGGTTGTGGGTTTCCCCTAAGTGGGCAGGTGTCGCCGCTGGAACGGGCAGGTGGGCAGGTGGGACCGCGGAGTGGGCACGCGTGTGTGAGCCCATGTATACATGTATTCGTGTGCTTGTGAGTGCATGTATAGCACTGATGAATGTGTATGCTTATGCATATGTGTGTATGAACTTATGAATGCACATCCGTATCTGTGTTTATGCTTGTGTTTAACACAGTTGCATGTGAGACAGTTATTTCTCAATGTGAAACAAATCCCAGGCTTGGAGCCCGAGCGTGTTGAGGGTATCAGTTCCCTAAGGAATGCTAGGTTAAGTTAAAGATCTCCAGTCTCCAAATTAAACAGGAAGGGTATCATGGTCATCCACTTAGAAATGTGAACTTTTGTCTAAATGTTTCAAAACTATGTAACCAACGTGTTTGGGGCTCAAACTTGGTTTTTTATGGCCCCTTGAGACCCAATGCCAAAATTGTGCCCCGAGGGGGAAAGAAGGATTTTCTATGACCAAGTGTGTTGTATTTAGATTACACACTGACTTTGGGAAGCAAGAGATTGCAGTCCAAGACCAGTACGTAGAATATCTTTCTTTGACAGTGCCTAAGCTCTTTTAAGTTAAATGTTTGATACTCTCTGGTTTGCTGCTGGTGTTTTAAGTTCTCTTTCAAACCTGAATTGTGGCTTTTCTTCTTTAATGTCTTCCTGTAGGAAGTGGTTGTGGTCCCTGCATTGGTTTTAATCTATGTCCTATCTTTTCTTGGTGACATTGATATCCGAGACCGTGGTTTTCTTTTTAAATGTGTGTTCAGATCCCACCCATATTGTGCACTGGGCAGAAAAATGTTATTCCGCTACGACAAAGGCTGGGTCCCAGGGAATGTGGTGGTCTGTAGGGAGTTCAATAAGCTTTGGGGTTCCAGTGGACTATCGCCTGTCCATGGGATTTCAGTCCCCTAAGGCCAGCTTCATGTGCTGTTAGTCTTCAGGTTAAATGCAACACTGAGAATGTCTATGGCCATGAGTCCAGTCTTGTTCAGCTCTTAAAGGGTGTCTTTTGTGTGTGCAGATGCATCATCACTTTATTAAAAGCAGAAGATAGTGGTCATTATTTTGGTGGGGAGTAAGCTAAAAGCTAGAACAAAAATGTCATTTATAATAGAGCCTTTCTGTCAAGCCAGAAATCTGTCAAGCCAGATGTGATGAAGGGGCTAATCTACCCCCCCACCCTTCCTATCCAAATGGGCACTGAATTGATCAACTATGTGACCTTGGCCAGCCAGAGTCCTCCCTCCTCCGGTGTTTCCCTATTGCAAGGCAAGTTACCTGCCTCATGGACTTGTTTGGAGGGTCACATGATGTCACATGTAAATTGCCCAGCAGATGTGCAGTGAGGGCTTCCTTCTGTCTTCTGGCTTTTTATAGAGGGATGCTAACTTGAGCAAGGCACATTGTTATAGAATAAAATGTTTGTCTCTCAGTGTTTTCAAAATTGATTTTTGGATAGTTACTTGGAGCTGACAGTTTTTTTGTTCACCCTTGGGAAATTGGAGAATTCTGCCTGTCCCTTATTAATGAGGTTATAAGCCAGCTGTGGGCAAACTACGGCCCTCGGGCCTTTGAAATGAATAAAACTAAAAAAAAAAAAGACCGTATCCTTTTATGTAATGATGTTTACTTTGAATTTATATTAGTTCACACAAACACTCCATCCATGCTTTTGTTCCGGTCCTCTGGTCCAGTTTAAGAACCCATTGTGGCCCTCGAGTCAAAAAGTTTGCCCACCCCTATTATAAGCCCTGGCCTGGTAGCTCAGTTGGCTAGAGTGTTGTCCCAATAAGCCAAGGTTTCGGGTTCAGTCCCAGTCAGGGCATATATAAGAATTAATCAATGAGTGCATAAATGAGTGGGACAACAAATTGATGTTTCTCTCTCAAAAAATCAATAAATAGAAATTTAAAAATAATGAGTAACCTTGGTGCCATTGCTTCCATATTTCCAAACAAATGGTATCTAGTTTTCTCTATATCCCCTATGCCACTCCTAAAGTAATTTCAGTCACATTCATTGAACTTTCTGTTCCTTTGCTGCTTTAAAATTAATGCCTGACATTGATAAACGCTTCTGTTGCTTGGAGTAGGCAACTTGTGAAATCTAGCCTTTAAGCATTTTGCTGCCTTTGTTTCTCTAAATCTAACATTTAGTGTAATCCTAGAAAAGCAGCCCCATTAAAGCTCTATTTGTATTTCTTTTGTAAGCTGTTTTAAGCTCTGAGCCTAGAGACTTTGTGTTTCTCTTTTAGAGATAAAGATTTTAACTGCTTCATTCTTTATCCTAAGGTAACACTTCTTTTAACTATATTTTTTGATATGTATAGGCATTATTTACATTTGCTTCTTCAAGCCTTTACTATGTTATTTCAAAATTCTTACTGCTCAGAGGACTTGTAGAAATTTAAAAGTGTAAGGAATGTAAAATAGACATTTTTACTTTCAGAAAGAAAAGAATTCTTAGCGGTAGAGCTGGTGATTGATTGCAGTAGCTTTACTACTGTACTCAGTAGCTGACAAGTGCTGTAGGCGTGCTGTTCCTTAAAGCACGATGGAAAATGGTGATAATGGTTGGTTTGGACTTAACACTACCTCTGTCTTTCCATTTTATGTAAATATAAAGCCATAGTTTTGGAAAAAGCTAGCCTTTGCGGTCTTTTCTCTATGTAAATGATAATGTGCTGTGATATATACTTACTTTTAAAAAATAACGGCTTTATTGAGATTTAACCCATATAACATAAAATTGACCCCTTTAGAGTGTACCGTTCATTGGTTTTCAGTACATTTAGAAAATTGTGCCCCCCCCCCCCACCTTTGTGTTTCAGAATCCTTGTTGTAGAGATCATACTGGAACTACTTACTGAGATTGATTTTTTTAAAGGAAGAATTGAAACAATGATTTTAAAGTGCTTAGTGCAGGAGTGTGGTGGGTAGTAGTCTTCCTTTGGGTTTCTTACCGTTTCCCAGCCATCTGGTTTCGTTCCCCTCTTGTTGCTTGTAGAACCTTATAGAGAGACTCTGTGTATTAACAAATAGATCACTGTTGTCTTACTCCCCACATGGTCTATGTCCCTTTTTCTTGGTAGTCTTTCCTGATGAGCATTCCTTGTCAGTTCATAGCGCAGCGGTTCTCAACCTGTGGGTCGCGACCCCTTTGGCGGTCGAACGACCCTTTCACAGGGGTCGCCTAAGACCATCCTGAATATCAGATATTTACATGACGATTCATAACAGTAGCAACATTACAGTTATGAAGTAGCAACGAAAATAATTTTGTGGTTGGGTCACAACATGAGGAACTGTATTTAAAGGGCCAGAAGGTTGAGAGCCACTGTCATAGTGCTTCTTCGTTGTACTAGTAGCTTATGGCTGCCCTGTACGAATGTGCGATTTAATCACTCCCTATTGATGGACGTTTTGTTCCCTCTTTACCATTACAGACAACTCAGTGTCTTTGACGTATTATGTATGTGTCATCTGCATACAACAAACAACATGCATGGCTTTCACATTTCAGTCAGTAAGTGTGTCTATAGAACAGAAACCTGGAAGTAGGATTGTTGCTGGGTGAAGTGGTCTGTACTGTAATTACTTTAGATATTGCTGAGATCATCTACCTTTTGGAATTCCCACAGCAATGTGATTGTCTGTTCCTATACCTTCAGCTAGTATGTAGAGTCAGCACCCCCTGATCCCTTCCCCAGATTTTTGCCATTTGGTTGGGTGAGAAGCACATCTCAGTGTAGTGTAATTTTATTTTATTTTTGGCAAGCTCTTCATAACCTCTGCCCATCTCTGTTGGATTGTTGATCTTTTCTTTATTGTTTTTTAGGAGTTCTTTAAGTTTCAAGGAAATTGTGCTTTTGTCTTTAGAAGTTGCAAATTTTTGTTTTCCAGGTTTTTTTCCTTTTCATTTGGACTTTACCATGCAGTTTTAAAAATATATACATATATATTTATCAGCCTGTATGGCTTCTGGGTTTTGTGTCATGAGAAATGCTTTATACATTATGCATTGCACATATTATTATACATATGCATTATACATTATACAGACATTCCCTGTGATTTCTTCTGGTATAG